TCCACTGCATCCATAAGTGGTTTATCCTTTGCGTGGGCTGCCTTCAGATTGCCTCTTTGATGAAATACCATCCATCTCTACAGTGTAGAGAAGTGGAAGTGATGTAAAGAACAGACTAGCAACCAAACACCCTAAAAAGCAGACGGATTAGTAAATACAAAACTTCCTTATTGCACTTAAGCATAAGCTTCATTTGGATAAACAGTTAAGAAAATCGATGGATTAATGATTATTTCTTCAAGGCTATATTCTACAGAGCTTGCAGTGTTAGAGAGAAAACCCCAACAATCTAATCCCCTTTGAGCGATTACTTGGCAACAGTGGGAAGGAAGAGCTCCCATTTAACAGGAAGAGCACTGAGATCACGGAAGGGGATTAATTTTGGCATGAATCTTTGGGGGATGAAAGAGAGACCACAAAGGACAAACAAGGCAAACAGAAACTACACAGTAGACAAAAAGTGCCACATGGAATAAACCATCCTCAGGACTTTTAGAATCAGTATCATCATCCAGCCTTTGTGTATTCAGGCCAGTTAAATTAGAGATAAGCCGAGATAATGATAAACGGTCTAAAAAATAAAGCTACAGATGAGGGTGGCAATAGAAAGTTGTGTGTGGCGTTTCTATCTCTTTAAGAACTGGATTGTGCTATTGAGCAGGGAAGGAGGGGGGGTTGTGGCTGCATTGGAACAGTCCTCTCTAATGAGCAGATTTTCTGAGAGAGAGAGGGAGAGCTACAGAGATCCAGCCGTAGGAGGAGAAGAGATTGTAAGACCAAGGCAGCAGGCAGGCTGTGCGTCAGCCGGCACTCCATAGGGAAACATGGAGACGAGCAGGCGATGCTGAAGAGGACAGAGCACACCTTAACAGGATCATATAGATGGATGGTATTTCATCAAACAGGCAATCTGAAGGCAGCCCACGCAGAGGATAAACCACTTATGGACGCAGTGGATTAAAGACCTACAGACAGACTGAGAGAGAGAGGAAGACGGGGAATAGAAGAAGAGAAATTAATCAGTTCAGTTATTTATTTTCATTGTCTGTGTGTGCGCACTTTCTGTCAGAAGGAGTGTGTGTGCATATGTGTGTGTGCCTGCATATAGAGTATGCGTGCATAAGGCAGGAGACTGCATTGCCGCTCTCCGGCACCACAGGACAGACGAAACGGGCAGCCGAGCAGATTACATTCTGTGTTTTTCCCATTATTTCTGTCTCTCTCCCTCTCTCTATGCATGTGTGCGATCCCTGGCTGTGCAGCAAAGCGCAGTATATGTGTGTGTGTTAAAGCTGAGAATGAAGTCTGGCGTGAGCCACAGAGTCTCACTTTAAATATTTTTGTCTGATCGTCAACAACAGACTTGGAGAAAAAGAGAAATCTGAGGAGGAGAATCTTTTTTTTTTCCTTTTTGTTTTTTTTTCTTTTGTCAGTTATCATGTCACCGCTCCAGCTGAAGCTTCTGTGCTGATCAGGGTGGCGTCTATGCTGGAGGCTCGGAGGTTTGAAGGGCTGCCACCGGGGAAACTTCTCGGCTCTACACCCCAGAGAGGTGGAGGCATCATCAGGTAGGAGGTGGCAGATTGAGTGGGCCTGAGCGGAAGGCAGGCGAGAGAGTAGGAGGAAGAGTTCTGCGTTTGTGCCGTAGACTGTGTAGGCAGGCCGATGGCAGGCCGGTGGAGCTGCCTCATGGATTAAACTTCTGCTGAGGGAGAATAATGGCAGCTCTGGCCCTACTCTCCTCCGCTCTCACCTGGAAAGGCCACAGAGAAGCTGGAAAGTGCTAGCCAAAGCTACAAAGAGCCCACTAAGAGGATGGAGTGAACAGCAACCTGCTACCTTTCCCCAACAGGCCGGGAGAGCCCTGACACAGCTGTGAGGGGCCACGTTTTTTTTTTGTTTTGTTTTTTTTAGTCCACCTTATTTCCACTTCTTCCACACTAAGCTAGTGGGAAACTGAAAGTGGCCTATCTTGATTTGTGTGGGAGTTCACTCCCTCCCACTCCCTCCTTCACCTCCTTACCCCTACCCTCACCAACCTCCAAACTCCGCTCCATGGATTGGTTCTAGCACCAACCTGTCCTTTTTCCTTCCTTCTTTTTTCTTTTCTTTTCTTTTTCTTTTTGTCGAGGCTTCAGGGGAATTGCCAAGACCTGTTTCATGCATGTCCACTGGCGGCAGGTTCAACTTTGACGATGGGGGGTCATACTGCGGAGGGTGGGAGGAGGGCAAGGCGCACGGTCACGGGATCTGCACTGGACCCAAAGGCCAGGGCGAGTACTGCGGCTCCTGGGCCCATGGGTTTGAACTGCTGGGTGTCTACACTTGGCCCAGCGGGAACACCTACCAGGGCACCTGGGCTCAGGGCAAGAGACACGGTGTGGGCGTTGAGAATAAAGGCCGCTGGGTGTACAAAGGCGAGTGGACGAATGGCTTTAAAGGACGCTATGGCGTGCGGGAGAGCACGGGGACAAGCGGGAAGTACGAAGGGACGTGGAACAACGGCCTGCAGGACGGATACGGAACAGAGACGTACTCGGATGGAGGTAAGAACTATAGGAGATACAGAAGGACAGATGCATTGTGGGTGTTTTGGGAGTTGGTTTGTGTGTGGCAGAAGGCACACCACTCAGTTCCTGTCAATGAGCGATATTTGACAACTGTCCTCTGTGAAAACAGCCTCTTACTGGTTGATGATTGACAGGCTGAGAGCAGATGCACAGTAGGAGGAACTTCTCTAAAGGTTTTCTAGGGTCATCCTTTCTTCTATCACGCCTTGTTAACACACACACATGCTCATGCTGAGGGAAGAGGTTGCGCCAGGACAGCTTTTGAAAATGTACTTGCTCTCATTTTCTGTCTCTGATTCCTCCTTTCTCTGTCTTTCTCCTCCTCTTCCTCGTGTCCTCCCAACCCTCAACTTTCAATTCAGCTGCTTGAGGACACTCTGTGTATTTAGAGTCCTTCAATTCAGGCCACGCAGTCTTAAGGGATGAGTGAAAGGTTAGAGGGATGGAAGAGGACATCAGCTCCCAAGTAACAAGCCCCAAAAACATTGCTGAACAGAGGACAGACATTGCATTTATGCACTTTTTCATAATTTCCTAGTTACCTAAAATTTGAACTAGTTTGTATAGGACAGAAGTTTTTAATCCATCTTGCACTTGACCTGGCTGCAGTATTTGCTTTTATAGGGAGGGATATTTTCTCTACTTGTATTAATGGGCTTGGATTGCTGGAGGAAAGTGCTATCAGAAAAGATAGATTGCTAATGCATGTTTTTCTGTTATACCAGATGCACCAAAACTACTCGTAAGTCTTATATTTTTAGTGTTTCTTTTCAGAAGATTAAGCAAGCTTTTAAAAGGTCTTATTTTCAGACGTTTTAAGGCTTAATTTTACCCCTAAAGCCAGAAAAAAGTCCCAAAAAAATACATGAAATCTTTCCCACTGTTCTTTTTTTTCCTGTTTCAGCACCATGGACAGTGATTAATGTTTATCCAGGAAAAGTAACAATCAGAAAGTAAATTAAAAGTTGGGAACTGGTTGGAGGTCAGTCTTGTGATTTCCAAATGGTGTGCCTGACAGGTGTGCCACACAGCCTTGGTGGCAGCAGCGTTCCAGATTGAGAATTGTTGGTTAGCACAAAAATAAACCGACTGTTCATCAGTGTGCACGTTATTAGTATTCCAGTCCCGCTGGTGCTTTCCCCCCTCCACTTTAAGCCATTACAGTAATTTCCCCTGCTTATTAAAACTGGTCCTAGGCATCTCATGTTAGTCAGTCACATGCTGCAATAAATACGAAAGTCAGCATCCTGATATCTTTATGACAAGGGAAATGTAACGTTTATATTGTTTATCATTCTTTATTAGCATGTTAACATGCTATAATTTACTGATTAGCAATAAACCCAGTGGCATATGGCTTATCTCCCCCCAGTTTGACCAGAATAACGATATTAAAATACTTTTTAATTGGAATTTTGATCCAAGGAATAAAAACTATCATAGTAAATCTGTGGAGCCCATAAATTCATTCACAGTTCGATGCTATTCCATCCAATAGGTGTCGAAATATTTAATTTTATGATAAAATGATAATCATAAGAGCCACTAGCAGGACTACAAATACAGCCAATATCAGCACACTATTTGTGCCAAATACCCAAAAGCATCCATCAATCTGCTAGGGACACCAGATGCAATGTTGGTCGCTTAAATGCATGAAATATGTCTGTGTTTGTCATCTGACTATGTTGAAAAAGCAAAACATGTAATTATACATTTGATTCTTCTTCTTTCATTTGTAAAGTCTTGCAAATCTGCATCACAATTGCCTAGAAAATAAAAATTAGTTGCATGTTGAGTCTCTTAGGCTGTGGGTTCAGTGTAGTTCAGTCGCTGTGGGTGCGACTGCACATGCATACACTACATTGCATGCATGTGCAAAAACTGCACAGCCATGAAATCTGGTAGTATGTGTGTAAGTATGGAGCTGACAGTAGCATACGTGCCGCTAAAGCCTTGTTACATAACTCTACAACTACCAGGCCGCATTACGCTGCTCTTCACGACACACAAACACACACAGTCCTGAGCAGCCCGATAAAATCCGCAGACCAGACTGGTTTTAGGGGTTGATTCGGTACAAAGGAGAATAATTCGGCTTGATAGATGACCAGACAGATGGACGGACTGACAGAGGGAGGCATAGATGATTCAACAGATGTACAGATTAATGGATGAATGGATCACTTATATGATGAACAGATAACTGAGCGATGGCTCACTCGGTGGATAGATGATTATCGTGATTGTTATGAGAGATACTCTCTAATCAGGAGGCGAGTGAGATCATTAAAGAAAGAAAGAGAGAGACAAAAATGGGCCTTTCAGATATGTTGGAGCGTAACTGTATCATTTGAACCCACATACAGTAAATGCAGCAGAGATTGGCCTAGTTACGCGTGGTTATCTAGCTCCAACAGTACACAGTGTCCTTATTATAACAACATGCATCTGTCCTTTTTATAGATCTGCGAGGTAATAAAACTAATATGTTTTAATAGAGGAAGTAACCATTGATGCTGGTGCAGAATTTAAGAAACAATAACCAGAAAAAGATAAATAGTTCAGTAACCAAAGAAGAAATGCGAACATGAATCTGAATGTGTTCCTGACTTTACTTGTAATTATAAACCTGCATCAGCGCCTCCCTGGTGTAGTGATGAACACATTCGCCTCACACACAAAAAGTTCAAAACTGGGAGGAGACAAAATCCCAGCCTCAGGGGGTCACACGCTAGTATGTCTCCTAGGGTTCCACCCAAGCCTGGATAAATGTGAACGTCAACTAAGAAGAAGCTGGTGGAGCCCAAAAGTTGTTTGCACCAAAAAACGATATTTTCTAGCTGTCCGGTCTGTGTGTGAAGAGAAATGTGAGCTTTTCCTACTTGCGTTCTATCCTTTTCCTATTTTCTAATTTGTGCTAATGCAAACTTATATTGACATGTGTAAATTACTTCTTCGAATGCAAATGCTGCCTAAATAATGTGTAAAAATGACTTGTTTTATCATCTCTTTGGAAGAAGACATGCAGCACAGTTCAGTCCGTTTTTTCCATTATCCAAGTTGTACAATCACTTGGATAAGTGATTGTACAACAGGTATTTTCTCGGCAAATCAAAGATAAAGTAGAGGCTATTCAGAGAACATGAAAGCTATCAGAAAATAAATTGCAGCTCAATATACAGACAGTATTCCCTGAAGCAGCAAAGTTAATCTGTTCATCAGGTGTTTCTCCTTTCATTCGAGCGGCAGTCGAAGGCTACGTCCTGAACTGACATCACAGTGTCCGTGTCATGAATAGGGAGAGTAGTCAAAAAGTAAATCTCCAAGGAAATTACTAGCAATCACAATATATATAATCTGCTATATATCGAAGAAGGTTTTTGTTAACACTTATCCTGAGAAACTGCTGATTGACGAGGCGTCACTGCTTTCAGGGCTGAGTGAAAGGGGCCTGAAGGACTTGACCCTACACTGTCACAATTATTGTGACATGTCTAAAATATCGGACAAGTTAACGTCACATAGTTAGTAGTCATGTGACTGCAAAACTTTAATAAAGTCTAAAAAAGAACATGAATCTTATACAGTGTCAGAAAACCTGGGACTTGTCAGTCCTTTTTGCCCCTCAGCCATAAAAGGGTTATTGGTGTCACGTGGACGCCCAAGTTTGTGAAGAAGATATAGGAGTTTAAAATTAATACCATAGCTGTTAATTTCCACTAAAAAACCTGGATGTCTTTGAAAGTTTTCTGAAAATCTTATGAATAACGATAGAGGTTTGAAATTGATACCACAGGTGTGTCTACTAGTAGGCTGAGGGGCAGCGCTGGTGGTCACAAGCATTTATGTTTCTAAATGAAGCATGAACATGAGCTTAAACTACGCCAGGTCTAACTGTTGTTGCTTATTAAGACAGCTTAAATGTGATTTTAAATGTTTAGCTTAAAGCTGAAATAATCATTTTCCTTCATTGGTTTTCTGATACGGTCCAGTGCAGAGTGCTTCACAGTAAAATCTGCCTTACAGACTCACAGCTCAGTCATCTCCAGAGCAATACGAGCCAGAAGCCACAGCATTCAAAGATGCTCTGCTGCCTACATACTTTTGAAACACGCTGTGCAATTTGAGTCAGCTACACTTCCCCTCCAACTCCACCTGATGCCAAATTTCTAGGAAACACTCCTCCTCCGTCTCTACCGCTGCTGTTTAGTTTTTCTCTTCGTTACTCTCCCACGTCTGCCAGCATCCCTCTCTCCTCTCCTCCCACCTCTCTCCTCCCTCCCTCACTTTGCTGCATTTCCACTGAGCCGCGCTGTACAGTAGGGTTTCCATAGCAATGCTCACTGACATGCAGCAGGTCACTGTGTCACGAGGGACTTGATGTTCCTCGCTGCTATTGGCCGCCCAGCCGGCTCTGCTGAGCCTGGATTGGCTGGTTTGGCCTTCCGGGCTAATGTTGTTTACTGAGATGAAGAGCTAAGCTGACTGATTACCAACCACATAGAGAGAGAAGGAGAGAGGGAGTGGAGTAGAAAAATGAAAAGAGAGCAGTAGACGGATTCAGTAATCACTTTAGTGAGAGTTGAAGTCACAAAGAGAGATTACAGCTGTCACTGTGTACAACAGTGCTAACTGCTAGAGATTACAGCAGTAGTGGTGAATATGCTATTGTCAGAGATGTACAAACTGGCCTAAAAATTCCCCTTATGTGAATATGAAACGTCAAAAAGACAAGAAAAAGCACGAGAGCATTCATATCATGGCAGATGCTCAATAACACGAGGTGTGCGACCGCTCACAAGTATCCCTGAACCTCCCTCATGTCCTCCAGCTGTTGGTAAATATGCTAAATCTGAATTATAATTGTTCTAAATTAACACACCCTGCTAGCCTGCTAAAAGCCGCTATCACTGCTGTAATTATTCTCGCTCTGGCCGTGTTATGTAAGCATAATAAATCCGCATAATAAATAATAAATCCACTTATCTTGTTTTAAACTCACCCTGCAACGATAGGTGGGCCAAATGAGATCAAAAACCTGTTTCCTTTGGCTCGCTGATTAGTGAGACATGCGTTTGGAAGGAAAAATAACAAGCATGTGTAAAAGAATATATTTGAGAGAATATATTTGCAGTGTGTGTGGGAGGAATCACTTCGGCCAGAAGTGCCTCTCTGCTTTCTATCACCCAGTCGGCCATGTAGTTAGTTAGCTCGTGCCCTGTAGCAACGCATGTAACCAGCATATAATGGACTTATTACACAGAATTATCTTAGACATGGCCAAGATAATGCTCGAGGTCTCAGATAACCGTAACAGGCTTACAACCGTGAGCACAGCTGAAGTCCTCTGAGCGTTGTCTCAGTCCCCGTCAGCTTCAGGGCTGCTGTTTGCAGGAAAACCTTCACTTCACAAGAGAGGAAGGGAAAAGCAATTCACAAACAGTTTGAACTCTTATTTGTGACTATGACAAGTCACAAGTAGGAATTACATATTCAGACAGCCCTTTCCTCTCATTTGACTCAACTTAGTTTCATGTAGTCTGTCCTTCTATGTCTATGTTTATGATTAGTTTATTTTAAAAAAAAAATTTGTTTTGTAAAATCTCATCAAAAAGAGAAATATTGAAATTTCCCAAATTCTGAGGCTTATCCTGTTGATTATTTTAGCCTAGAAAGAAAGTAAATTCAAAGGAAGTGTCATGCAAGTCAGGTGAATCCAGTATTTTACCTGCAATTCTTAGACTGTCCATTTGGATGAAGAAACATTTGAAACCAGCAGATGTTATGCATTTTGGTTTAAAACATTATAAGGAATTATTAAAGCTGTTTACAGATACATAAATATTGCAATCATGTTATTTTGATGTCATTATCGAGGTAGGTTTGCTGTTAGCAAAGTTGCTGATGTTGGTTTGCTAGTGGTAGTTTTTAATAGCATTAGTTAATTTGTTAACTGAATGCTATTGAATGTGATTGGCCATCTCCTTTCATTGTTGCCTTCAGCATTTCTAGCAGCTATAGATTGTTTTTGACATGCTCACCTTTATTTATGTAAA